GCTTTCCATCTTTTTCTTTCTTTTCTTTTTTTTTTAAGAATGTCCTCTGGTTTTTGTTAGATAGGGCTCTCTCCACCTTTATTAAAGTTATTCCTAGGTACTTTACTCTTTTTGATGCAATTATAAATAGGATTGTTTTCTTTATTGATATCTCTTCTAACTGTTGTTTGCATAAAGGCATGCAGCAGACTTCTGTGTATTGGTTTACATTGTAGCCTGTCACTTCACCGAGCTGTTAATATGTTTCTTTTTTAGTGGAGTCTTTAGGATTTTCTGTGAATATTATCATGTCATCTGATAGTCATCAAGCAGTGATAGTTTTACTTCTTTTCCAATTTGGATTCCTTTAATCCTGTCTCTTGCCTAATTGCATTAGCTAGGACTTCAATACTTTGTTGACTATAGAGTTAAAATAAGCGCATCTTGTACCTGATCTTAGAGAGAAAGTTTTCAGCTTACTCTCTTTGATGTTAGCTGCGAGTTTGTCATGCCTGGCCTTTGTTATGTTGAGGTATGTTCCTTCTAGGCCCTTTTTTAAAAGAGATTTTAAAGTCATACATGGACGTTGAAGCTTGTCAAATGCTTTCTCTGCATCTCTTGAGATGATCACATGGTAATTGTAATTCCTTTGTTTTTGATGTGGTGAATGACATTAATTGATGTTTATGTTGAACCATCCCTGGGCATATTACCGTTTCCTCACTACATAATTCTTTGAATGCATCACTGAATTCCACTTGCTAAGATTTTGTTGAAAATATTTGTTTGTGTGTTCATCATTTTTATTTTTTGGTGATCTTTCTTTGCTTTTAGTATCACAGTACGGTCTCCTTTCCCTTCCTTGTAACGATCTGCTAAATTTTCTATTTCTCTGTGATTCTGCCTTGCGAGGTTGTGTGATTCCCGTTAGTTTCCCAGTGTGTTTGGGTAAAGATACTCATTGCAGTCTCTTAATTGTACGCAGTGATCCTCTGTTTTTCTGAGATGTCTGTTCTGACACTCCTTTTTGATTTTTGACTTCATTTATTAGTACCCTCTCTCCTTTTATTCTTAGTGAGCTTCGCTAGAAAGTTGTCTGCTTTGTTGATCTTTCCAAAGAACCATGTTTTACATTTTTATTTCTATTTCATTTATTTTTTGCTTTAAACTTTATTATTTCCTTCTTTCAGGTAACTCGCTTCGTTGTTGTTTATCTCTCCTTAAGGTGTAAGGTTACATTATTTGAGATATTTCTTGTTTCTTTCATCTGTATTTCTGTAATTGCATTATTGGTACATTTTTTGTGGTTCTGGTTAACTCATGTTTTTATTTTTGTTTGCTTTTTAGTACTTTTTTTAATTTCTCCTCTGATTTCCTTATTAATCCAATAGTTATTCACTAGCAGCAGGTGGCTTAATGTCCACATATTTGGAGGGTTTTCTCACTTTTTATGGTTGATTTCTAGTTTGATACAACAGTGCTCAGGAAAAATTTCAATGTTGTTGAATTTATGGACACTTGCTTTAGGACCTGATAAAACATGGAAGCTTTTTCAACCTCCTGTTCACATCCCACCAGGCTGTGTCCTTTAAAGTAAACTCGGAGACTCCCTGTCCACTTTATCAAACAGGTGTTATATTACATTTTTATCTTTAGATGCAGATCCTTAGCTTACTTTAGAAAAAAAAAAAAAGTTCAGTAGTATTTTGTTTTGTTTTGTTTTGTTTTAATTTTGGTGCTTCCGATATGAAGAAGCTCAGGTAGACCTCCAACTCTCTAATGCTGTGGATGATGGGGGTATTGCTGCAGTCCATGTTGACTATTGGTTGTGTTTCCTCTACGAGGCTATTTTAACTTTTCTGGCTTACTGCTATATTATAGCTGTTCACAGAAATTTAGTAAACATTTGAGAGACTAAATACTCTTGGGAAAACACCTCAAATAATTGAATACTACTTAGGTGATATGCTGTTAACAAAGTAAGTAGAAGTTAAACACATCTATTTTTAAAGTTGCAGCTCACCTGACTGACTTATTCAAACAATCTTTGGCTACTATACCAGAATATTCTCCTGAAATATTTGGCAAAGATTTCTTGGAAAAGAAATGGCGGTAAGCTGATCCCGTAATGTTTTCCAATTAGTATTAAGCATACAGATAGGGAGGGGGAGGAGGGACAGGATGCTGGCAGCAGAGCACTGAGTGACAATGAAGCGAGTTCACAGGCTTTCATCTCCTCAGCACTGCTCAGTGCAGTGGTGGGGTTTGTTGTTGTAACCTGAGAGCGTCCACCTTTCACCAGGCTTTTCCTTTCCTTTTACATAGGCACAAAGAAGCATCAAAGAACTGGAAAGAAAAGATAGCTCTAAAGAGGTAATTCTACCCCGAAGTATACATATACCTGTGGAAAGATCCAGTCTTGCCAAGCCATAGAATTGCAGGACAGGATAGGTTTGAAGGGTGCCACCAGCTAGTAATTTTTTCCACTTTGTTACCAAGTGCTCATTCAGCATCTGTGTGATGATGTCATTAGCTCTGTGTGATGACATCAGTAGCTCTTGCAAAAGCCCATTTGACCACTGGGTCAATTCACTCCCTCTTTTTTTTTAATTTGTTCATTTTTTGATTTTTTTTTTTTTTTTAGCATTAACATTGTATGTAGCTAGTGGTTTTGCACTCTGGGGTAGGGCTTTCCCTCTCTTAAGCAAAAAAAAAAAAAAAAAAATGAGACCCAGCTATTCTCTGTGCTTTGATCATTTTACAGATTAATCGGTATTCTAAAATTTTATGTAGAACATAGTCATAAACACGCAAGAACTCTGTTGATACACATGAGGAATATATTCTTAGCATTACTTGTTTGGTTTCCTTTTAAGCCCAGCTAAGGATTCCCACCCCAGTTCTCTTGTCATAAAGGAAGGAAGCCAGCTATTGCTGTTAATAACAGTAGAGTACATATACTCTACACGTTCGCATGACTCCTCTCTAGATTGACTCCCAGGATACATATCCTCCTTTTATTTTAATTTAAAAAAATTTTTAAAAAGATTTATTTATTTATGCATACAGAGTTGGGGTATAGGCCAGAGGTGCAGGGCAGTGAGAGGGTTCACCAGAGACAGAGTGGGGAGCAGAACAGGCCAACGGACGAAGCACACTGCTGGGGGGAGCAGCCGGCGGGTCAGGAGAGGTCTGCCCCACCATGTGGGTCACCTCCGGGGAAGAGATCAAACTCATGCTGAAGTGGCTTTAGGTTCTCAGTGCTGTGCTTTAACCTGCTGCACTACCAGGGAGGGCTCACATATCCTTCTTAGTAGAAGTATCCAGGTTGCCTCCCAGAGTGTGGTAGGAAAGTGGTGAGCCCAGTACTCACGTTTCATGGGCCATCCCAGTAAACAACAGCCAATGAACAAGTTCATCCCGTCTTCTAGAACATGCCTGAAAGGACTGGCAAGAGGTTGGTGTCGGTGATGCTGGTGGAGGGAGGCAGAGAGGGGACCCCTTGGGCAGAGACCACCTTTGAGTTGTGTGTTATTGCTTTTAAAATTATGAAGGTGCATGCCTTATCCATTCATATTTACACATTCTGTGAAACTGCATTAGTCTCACATTTAAGCTTACATGTAGGTAGTGGCAAACCAGGGGACATTTCTGAAAACAAAAATGAAGCACATCATTAGAAATGTGTCATATAAGCAGGAATGCCGGCCAGCCCGTCCTCAGGACTGGGTCTGTGAAATAATAGAACAGCTCAAAGAGAAGGAAAGAAACAGACGTGTTGGCAGTGTGGAAAATGGATTGGAAAGAGGGTTAAGTCAAGAGAAAGTTTCAAGAAAGTGGAAGGTGACCAACAGATGGGCGAGGTCATGGGAAAACAGTAAGGGGGAAGGGAAGGGGAACCTGGGTCTGTCAGCTGGACACCTCCTTGATGACTTAGCTGAGAACAGTTTTAAGAGCATGATAATCAGTACCCGGAGTGTCACGGGTTGATATAGGAATCCTGTGAGGAGTAGAGTGATTCTAATGAGAAATAAAAGTTATTTACCTGACGGTGTTGTTCAGCCAGTGTTGCCAGAGAGGTCGCCAGTGTGAGAGAGAGAGCCCTGTTCTTAGAGCCAGCGACCTCACTGCACGCCAAGGCGGCGACTCCGGGTCAGGGAGCGCCTGGTCGCTTGCTTCAGCAAGAGGCACCTGCACCTTCCAGTGCGCTCGTCTGGAAGACGAGAATGGCTGGGCCCTCTGGTGTCGAAAGCCTCCCTCAGCCCTCATGCTGAGTGACGAAAGCTGACCAGCATGTGAGCTTACCGAGGTCATGAGCGAGGGTCAAACTCAGAGCTCGCCCCTTCCTGGCTGTCTGAGTTAGGATAGGTTACTTAGCCTCTCGGCACCTTGCTTTTCTGACCAATAAAATGGGAGTCACAATAGTAATCCGGTGTTTTTATAGGATGAAATACGAAGTATTTGCAAAATTTCAAGCATGCAGTCAGCAGTTATGAAGAGAACCTGTTTCTACTAGGAGCAAGCTTGGCTGTATCTCACAGCCCCAAAGTCAGCGCTTTTATGAGCTAGAAGTTTCTTTTTCCTACTAGAACAGAGTCCGGGCCAGGCGGGTCACAGCAGGTGTAACACCTTGTTGTTATGTGTCTGCTCATCCTTATTCTCACACGTGGTTCTCGTCCCTGAGGTGTTTACATAAGTAAAATGACAACTCTGAGTCCAGTCACGAATCCGTATTTCAAGATGTAGAAAAAGAGGAGAGTCAAGGACACAGAGAAAGTGACCCGTGGAGTCATCCCTGGAGGCTTGCCCGGTCACACCAGTCCCCGTCTCAGGGGCTAACCCTGAGAGGCAGGCTCAGGCATGGATTTGAGCTGGGGAGTCGCCTTCCCGAAACAGGTCTCTGGGTTGGAAAACAACGGTTGCTGTTATTTTAGTTGAAGCGACTTTTTTCACAACTCATTCCTCAGGCTCTAGTTTTTGTTAGTGTTGTTCTGAAGTGATGGGAATCAGTAGAATCTAGCTGACATGGGAACCTCAGTTTACAAAAAGGTAAACTGTTTGGATTATAGGCGTTTGAGGTCAACTGCAAAATCAGAGTAACGTGATATCATTATCTCTGGTTTCTGAGTAGTAAATGTGACCATGATAGAGGAAGTAGAGAAGGAACCAATGAGCGATTGAGCGAAATGCCTACTGAGGTCATTCTTAGCAGTGTTTAACCTGAGTGATTGCACTTACAGTGGGATTTAGAGTAAAACACAAATAGTGATTTTAAATACTCTGTCTTCTTTTGCATCATTCTGGAAATATCAACCAGGAAGGACATTGAGAAAACAGAAAATTACTTAATGGAAATTAGGAACAAACTCATATCACCTTACTTTAGCTCTGAGCTGGGCAAGAGCTTTCAGTCTCAGGTAAGTGAATGTAATTCACAGTGAAGCGAGCCTTTATAAATTTAATCCACTACACACGTTATTATATCATCTAGCTCTCCTCCTGTTTCTTTCCTGCCTCACTAACTAACCTTCATAAATCCATGTTCTTGAAAGCAGAAGAGAAAAAAGACCCATTTCAACTCTTATCCTTAAAAACAGGCCCCGCCAAGACATGACCCCCGCACCTTTCCTGCTCTGTAGTAACTTCATCATGGTCACTTCCCTCTCCCATGTATTTTAAGTCTTTCTGGAGTCAGTTTCTCCCCATTTGTGGTGATACTCGGACAAATCCCATTTTGAAGGGTTTACTCCACTGAAATTTGCCCTTGGGTCAGCTGCCGGCACAGCTCTGAGATGTGATGTTGTGGGTCTTGGAAGCCCAGGCCCAAGGGACTGTGCATCTAAGAAGCCTTGACATGCTGAAGTAGAGTGACTCCATTAATGTGTTCAAATTCCCCTATGTTTCTATGAAAATCCCAGCTACTACTATAAACCAGCAGCTGCCTGAGAAGCAGTTATGGCAAAGTATGACTAATTAGCAAGGCTAGAAATAAATCACCCGTTCTCCTCCTTGTTGAAGACAGCTTTTGAAGAATGAGAAAAGCCTTTTTATTGTCGTTTGTAAACGCTATTTTTCAGAGTCTAAAAATGATGCTTTCATCTTGGCTGTTCAGCTGCACATGCTTTTGGAAGTCGTCTCAGCCCTATGTAGGTCTAAACTAAGTTTCTTTTCTTTTTTTTTCCTAAAAGTTTAATTATCTGGAAACTCTTTCCAAGAACTTGCCTTCCTTTAGAAGGAAAGATGAAGAGGAAAACCAAACAGCTGTTGAAAGTGCATCTGATCTTCTACTAGGTATTGTGTTCCTTTAACTCTCCTTACTTGTATTCATGTACTTCATTGATGACTATTTCACAGCTGCTTCATAAAATGTCATGAGCTTTGACTACCTTTGGTCTCAAAAATAACTAATGATATAACCTGTTATGATCTCTGCCTGTGTGCTGTAGGCTTGACTGAGTTATATGAGGAAGCCAAGATGTAAATTAAAGTCAGTGTTTATCCTGTATATTAAAATTTACCTAAAAATGTTAAGAAGACCTGACTAATAGTAAACCCATCCAAATAAAATCAGTTCCTCTAAGACAAGGAGCCAGAGCATGGAGAAAGCAAAGAGTGTTGGCTTGGACAGCTACATGCACAAAATAGGAAACTAGATCATTATTTAAGTCCATATACAAACATCGATTCAAAGTGGATTGAAGAGTTGGATACAAAGCCTGAAGCCACAGAATATGTAGAAGAAAATGTGGAAGACACACACCTGGCTGTCAAAGATGCATATGGGGACTCACCCCCAAAGGCATGGGAAACAAAGTCAACATAAATGGGACTACGTCAAACTAAAAGGCTTCTTGGCAGTGGCAGAAACCACCACACACCCCAAAAGGCAGCCTGTGGACTAGCAGGTGTCTGTCCATCGTGTGTTTGCCAGCGGGGTATTCCCAAAATATGTAAAGAACTCACACAGCTCAACAACATAAAGGCAGGTCACCCCGTCTGGAAAAGGGACAGGAGACCTGAATGGATCCTTCTCTGAAGAAGATCAGAATGGCCAACGAGCACATGAAAGGACGCTCAGGTCGCTTGTAGGAGACCCTCCGGTCAGAACCACAGAGATTCTCCCTCGCTCCTGGGAGAATGAGCTAGCTGTACCCAAGAACTGGAGACTGCAATGGCGGCGAGCTATGGCGGACAAGAAACACTGTTGGTAGGAGTGGAAGGCGGTGCGGCCCCACGGGGCACAGGGCACAGAGTGGACATTCCTTTGAGAATCTGAAACTGTGTCTGAGCGCTGGCAGTATTCATTTGCAGAATATGAAACCACGAATACAAAAGAGGCTTGCATCTCTCCTAATCACCCACCTGCGATGGATGACTGGATAAAGAAATGGTGCTGTATATATTCAGTGAGCTACTACTCAGCTAGATGGAATAGTGCCTTTTGGAACAACATGGATGGATTTGTTTGTAAAGATTTATTTATCTATGCATGTAAGAACCGGGGTGCAGGCCAGAGGTGCTGGGGGTGAGAGGATTCACTAGAGACTGAGTAGGGAGCAGAACAGGCAGATGCACTGACACCCACTGCTGAGGGGAGCAGCGGAAAGACAGGAGAGGTCTGCTGTGCCCTGGGGGTCACTCCCTGTCTGGGGATCGAACTTGTGCTGCAGGGGCTGCCAGTAGCTTCATCGTGCTGATTTTTAACCCCTGTGCCACTCGGGAAGTCCACAGTAAGGATGGATTTCGAGATGACCGTGCTCAGTGAAATAAGTAGAAAGCGAGAAACAACTACTGAATAGCCTCACTCATTTATGAACTGTAAATAACCAAAGAAAACAAACGACAAAAAGAATTCTTGGCCTATTGAAAAATCCGGGGGTGCTCAGAAGGGAGGGAGGGGGAAGGGAGGGCAGAGGGGGGTCGCCATGACCGCGGGGGCTGGAGAGCCTGTGGAGGGGCAGTGAAGCAAGTGTGCCTGTCAGACTGGGGGTGCCAGAGTCCTGTATTTGTGAACCAATGGGAGATCAACACCATTTGACTTAAAAATGTCTTTTTTTTTTAAAGATTTATTTATTTATGCATACAGAACTGGGGTACAGGCCAGAGATGAGGAGGGTGAGAGGATTCACCAGGGACAGAGTGGGGAGAAGAACAGGCAGATCTACAAAGTACACTGCTGAGGGGAGCAGCGGGCGGGTCAGGAGGGGGCTGCCACGCCATGTAGTCAGGGGCAGGTGGGGATCGAACTCATGCGGAAGTGGCTTAAGTTTCTTAGTGCTGTGCTTTAACCCGCTGCGCCCCCAGGGAGGGCCCAAAAATGTCTTTTAATTAAGCATAAGCAGTAGGCAATAAGCATAAGTTAAAAGGATGAGGCCTCTAATTCCCGTGGAATTGGAAATGAGAGCTGAAGCCTGAAACAGTGACCTGTCAGTTTGACGGGGAGAAATCACAGGATGAAGATGGACAGAGCGAGTGTTGACCCCTTCTGCTCCTGTGCAGGGAGAACCAACAGGCGAGTCTAATCTCCCTGGAGGGGACGTGAGGCCACGGAGGTGTCCAGTATTCCAGCAGCCAAACGCTTCAACCAGGGCGCGCGCACACACGCCACACCCATCAGGAGGCATTTGTGTGTCCCGTCCTTGATAAAGATCTTCAAACTGTTAAGTCCCTCCAAAGATCGAGGGAAGACTGAGACTGGGTTGCAAAAAACAACACAGACTTAAACGTCGTTGGAGGACTGTCCTAAATACCCTCGATAATACTTGTTTTGGGTTTTCTAGTTCTCCAGCCTGGTAAAACTTCAATACAGGACACCTCAGACACACCAGATCTTCCAAAGGACACCAGCACAGCCGTCAGCGAGGCCACCAGCCAGCACCGGACTGAAGACTTAGTGAAGCCCCGGAGAGGTAAGGCGGTCATTTGCTCTGTCTCACTGTCATAACCAAACATGATGTCTTTTTGGTTGCCAGCTACAGCCAACGTATTCTGGAGTGTTACAGATCCTGGAACCTTGGAACTTCATAAGGCTCCTCAGTCCCTAAAAATACTTCAAAAAATATTTGAGATTAAAAAATAAATGGCAGGCACATCTTTTAGGTTTGTTCATTTGTTCGCCCCAGACAGAAGGCTAATCAGTGATTTTACCAACAAGATGGGTTTTATATGGAAACAGTAACACACGTTTTGAGCCCCTAGTGATTTCACTGTGGGACTTAAATTGGCTTCTGTTTTCAGTCATCTGCTGGTCTGCAGGTGCCAGAAGAGAGGCAGAAGCAGTAGACTGTCTCACGCGACGCACCGCTTTGTGAGCTCCTGAAACTGAAGTGGGAGTAACACTGAATAATATCTGTGGTGGAGTCTCGTGACACTGATCTCAGGGGTTAATTGAGCTAAATCTGATTGGTCAAAAAAAAGGAGAAACAGTACTTTAAATTGTGTGCCTGAATGTACACACCCCTTAACCCCTGGCGGCGTGTTCCAAATTGAGTGTGATGAGAATCTGCTGGTAGGTCCAGGTCACCTCTTCCCAGGTGGGCATCATGCCAAGGCGTGTGCCAGTGAAGATACTCAGCTGCGTAAGGCTCTTGCTTCTTTACTCCAAGAGCTGTTTCTCTTAAAAGATTCATTGAGTGGATGACTTGTTTGATGTCCGCTGTGAGCCAGTCATTGTCCTAGGCGTGAAAATAAAACAGCTACAATGCCAAAGTCCTACAGAGCTGTATGTACTGTGGGGAGACTGAGCAGCCCTGTTGTCACATGAATAAAACAGTAGAAGGCTGAGCGTGTCTCGAGACCCAACACCATCCCATGGGGGCACTAGAGGTCCCTCTGTGGAGGGACAGTCACGCTGAGGCAAGAATGGTGATGAACCAGCCATGCAAACTGGCGGAGAGGCAGTATGAGGGAAAATGAAAACACGCATTACTAGAAGTAAAAGGTGTAAAGTCAAGGCGGTCTAAAATTTGTAAAGAAGGAAAATGTGATGCACCAAGGCTGTGTCCACTCTGCTTTCAAGAAGTGGCTAGAAAGTTTGTCTGCCCCTCTGCTTGGTTTCTCTGTGCTCCACATGGAAGTGACTCCACCCTGAAAGCACAAATGGAGCTCATCCCGGGCAGAGCCCTTGACTTTTTAGAATCTGATTTTTCTTTTTCTATTTTTTTTTAAAAGATGTATTTATTGATGCAAACAGATCTAGGGTACAGGCCAGAGGTTCAGGGGCGGGGAGAGGATTCTCCAGAGACAGAGTGGGGAGCAGAACAGGCCAACTGACTGAGTACACTGCTGAGGGGAGCAGCAGGGAGACAGGAGAGGTCTGCCGCGCCCTGTGGGTCACCTCCGGGCTGGGGATTGAACTGGAGCTGAAGCGGCTGAGACGAGCCTCACAGTGCTGTGTGCTAACCTGTTGTGGCACCAGTGATGCTCATCGTCCCTGCTGCCCATCTCCTGGGGCTGTTGTAGAACCAACACTAGGTGAACTCTCTTTGTGAGATGGAAAGCTACCCAGCTAGAATGAACAAAAGCTCCTGCCTTTTAATAGGCTTTTGAAAAGGGCAAGAAGTTTCCTAACTTGGCTTAGGTTCTTATCTATTCTGGTCTTGCCTCAGATGCCTTGAAATAAAATGTCCGTATGGCATAATTTAAACTTTTTAGCGGAACCAGAATTGTTTGAACCGCTGAAAATCCCAACCCAGTCACTGCTGCAGGATGTTGCAGGACAAGCAAGGAAAGAGAAAGTGAAGTTACCTCACTATTTGCTGAGTTCCAAACCCAAGTCTCGACCTCTGGCCAAGGTAAGAAGGATATGGGGAAAATTCCCGTAGCCGGTCGGTGTGTTTTGTGATCCTGACTCTTGGACTTTGATTTCCAGCCACGGTTTTCTGCTACTTGCTGCTGTATAGGCTGTCTGGCCATGAATGCCTTGACGTCCCACTGAAATAAACCAGGACGGGGCTTTGCTAGAACCTGCTAGGCTCACGTGAGGAATTTTGAGCCAGCTGGTAAACCATCGGTAACTTCAGATCAGTCATGCTGGGCATATCTAAACATCCCAGCAATTGGCAGGTGCCACTTTATCAAAGTTCTTCCCAAGGGGCCAGCTGGCCCAGCCCTGGCCGAGGGGCCACTGGACATCTTTCTAATGGCTTAGGATAAAATTCAGACCTCTTAGCAAGACTGTAAAGCATGACCCCATTTGCTCCTTCTTACCCTTACTGCCCCAGACTTCATTTTTTCCCAAGCACCAAATTTCTTCCTTTCTCAGAGCCTCTAAGGTCAGCCCTGCTCCTCGGCTCTCTGGGGAGCCTTCCAAGAGCCCACCAGTCCAGGGCCCAGTGGCGCTTCGAAGCCGTCACTGCACATCGTGTCCACAGCCTTCTCAGAATGATCTGCAGTGCAACTGAACCGTGCAGAGGTGCCGCTCACACGTCAGTGCGCACGTGTATTACTTAGGGACCTTGTTCAATGCAGGTTCTGCCTCACTGAGTCGTTGAGGCACCCTGCAGTTTCTGCCAGCCCCCAGGTGAGGCCAGATGGCCCGTGTGCAGGACAGCCGGGGGCGGGGGGGTCAGTGCTTCTTCCAGAACAGTGGCAACTCTTGAGAACTTTTGTACATGTTCAGACACGACCCTACCCCAGACTCCCTCACTGAGAAAGTGAGGATGGAGTCAGCCGTCGGGGTCTTGACAAGTCTTCCTGGTGAGCTGCTGCTAGCTGAAGTGTGATATTCACGCACTTACTCCTTCATTCCTTCTCCTTAAAACAAAGCCTAAAGTACTTGCTCACAGTCACAAGGACTGCATGAGGCCAGAAAGGGGTGTTTCCTTCCAGGACACACAGTTGTTTTCCTCTGCTGAGAGTCCTTTTCTTCTGTTGGAAATGCCAGAGAGAACCATTTCATTTTATTACTTTTTCTTTAACACAAAGGTGAACAATCCAGTTGGAGGAAGAGTGAAGACATCTTCTGTCGCAGCTGCCGCCATTAATAACGCAAATTCATCCTCTTTCGGATTCCACCTGCTCCCCTCATCAGTGAAGTTTGGGGTGCTCGAAGAAGGACAAACCTATACAGCCACTGTAAGGCTCAAGAATGTTGGGGTGGACTTCTGCAGGTGAGCAAGGCCCAAAAGTCTGCTTAGGTCAGCCCACCCCGCTCTGCAGTTCACCTTTGGCTACACCAGAGAACGCTGATTGCATTGAGCTGTGACTGTACTCTGCATTCTGCACCTTCACATCATTCGTTCATTAACGGGTCCTTTCATTCATCCCTGAGCAAGCCAGTATTAGACAAGCTTCCACTGTGTGAGAAGCACTTATCCCCACCCCATCAGTCATGTTCATTCCTGGGTAGAATCAACTCAGCTCTGAGCTGCACTAAGGAAAACACAAGTCATACAAGTGCTGCAGTAGCAAAAGCACAGAACTTGGGAGTCTGTCTAAGCCACACTGACCCTCAGGCCAGCTGACCACTGTTTGTGGTGTATGAGCTAAACGTGAACTTAATTACATTAGTGCTACATCATTGAGGCAAACGGAAAACAAAAGTGTTAACTTGAAGCATTTGACTCTGAAAATCTGACATGGAATCAGTAACAAACACCCCGGCTCCCAGTCTGGACCCCCTGTTGAAAATAGATCATGTCTGGCAGTCAGCTGCCAGTCCTCCAGTTCTGGATAAAAACCGCCATGTCTTAAAGCTTGTAGAGCCGAGACTATTACAGAGGACAAAGAGGGCCACTTGTGGTAAGGTCTTGGAGGCCAGAGCAGGGCTGGACTTCACACCTCCCAGCCCTGTTCCCTGGCAGCTGCTCCCCGGAGCCACCACCTTGTGTGGGGGTTCAGTCCTTCCCATGGGGTCTGCATCCCCAGAGGCCTAGATGCCACCCTCCGGCGGCAAGTCCCTTGAGCATGCTTTGATTCTGGACTGAGGCTCCAGGCTCCCCCCCCCCCCCCCCGAGCAGCGCAGCAGGGGGTCTGTGTCCCGCCTGAGTGGAGTCTGCCCCAGGAATCACGTAGCTGTCCTCAGACATAGCCTGAGGAGGCCAGGGCCACCAGAACAGACAGTACTCTTTTGTTCGGGCCCATGAGAGTTTCGCGTGCACATCCTCTCTGTCCCGCCAAGATTTCCAGTTCTAGAGATTTCGTTCCTAGGCTTGTTAAATTCGGCCACAGCCGGGCTGGGGTCCCCTCAGAGGTAGGTTGGCCCTGGCATGTTAACTCGCTCCAGGTCTTTCACCTGCAGGCAGCGCCCACCGCCCACAGCCCACAGGAAGGGGCGGGCCCCTGGGCACCTCGCGTGAGCACCGGCTTCTCCAGCCCTTTGTTTCCCTCCTCCCCCAACCGCAAACCCCTCCCACGGCTTTCCCAAGCGCCTTTACCCCAGCGGGCTGTGTGGCCTGGTCAGCGGCCAGCATCCGACGCCGAGGCCAGAGGCCGCGGCCTGGCGCCTCTGGAGGCTGCTGGCCTGGTGCCACTCCCAGTTGAATCTTAGGTGGCTTTTCTAATGCCAAGGGCCCCCCGTGACGGGAATGTTAATGCCTCCCGGGCTTTCTGACAGCGTAGAGTTCCCCGTGCGTGCCTCAGCCTCAGTTTGTCCCTATCTTCCTGTCCGGCCTCAGGTTTAAGGTGAAGCAGCCGCCACCCAGCACGGGCCTGAAAGTGACCTACAAACCGGGGCCGGTAAGTGCTGTGTGCACACTCTGTGTGTGTGTGTTTGAGAGAGAGAGAGAGAGCCCATGTGCCTGTGTGACCTCTTAGCGAAGAGGGCTTTAAGTGGTCCTGTCCACTCAGTGTGGCCACGGGTTGGTCTGCTTCTCCGCCCCACGTAAAGCCATCTGGTACTGGTGCAATGTGTGGCTTGATGTCGCTTAATTCCTCTCATTGCCCTGACATAAATCCTGCGCCTAGATAAAGTTAAACTTCCAGTGACCGGAAGCATTTCTGGAGTTTGCATCTCTTGTCCCCAAACTGTCGTTATGTACAGTAGTTTGGAAGATAGCTTTAAAAAATTAAATACCCTGTAATTGGCACTTGGACAACCAGTTGTCTAATCGGCAGCAAATCCTTCCGCAAAGTGAAAATTTCTGAGGAAAAAAAAGTAATTGTTCCATTCTTTAGACTTTAAGCCTGTTCTGTTCTCTCAGTGCTGCTCACATGGCAATAAAAGAAAGAAAAGGGAGTCGAGGCAGGTTGAGGGCGGGAAGCTGCTCAACAGCAGACCTTGGCCTTGTGATTGACAGAGAAGGGAGGGGCGACCCTGGACACTGGCTCTCGGGCTTCAGGGAGAATCCCCACCCATGGCCTCGGCCTTATTATTAGCAGGCGTCCCCGGACCAGCCCCTGGGGCGCAAAGCGCATCCGCATTGCCCTGGGGGACCAAGTGTCCCGTCTAACTTGAAAGGCACCTTGTACCCGACACCCACACTCTTGCCATCTGCCAGAGAAGATTATTAAATGACATCTTAAGAAAGAGCAGCTTATAAACTTCACCAGCTGCTTCATTTCTCCCAAGATCTCTGCAAGCATAATGCACACTAACAACCTGTTCTGAGTTCATCTGATACACCCCCCCAGTTGGGGGCATTTGGTGTAATTGCCTCTTTCAATTATAACTTAGAAGTGTGATACAAAGGCCAACTCAAAATAGGATAAAAGCATGTTTGTAACTCGGATCATTCATGACCTGGCCAGCGAGTGAGCTTGGTGCTTTACCGCCGCTTGCGTTACACGCAGCTCAGTTGGGCACATCCACGTGCCCAGTGTGCCAGCCTCCCGGGAGCATCAAAGGGGGGTCCGTCGCAAGGGACCTTGGAGAGCTGGGCCCACCGCACCCACTCAAGGGACAAGTGACTGTACGGGCGAGGAGGTGTCCAGGAAGACAGGCCCTTCACTGTGGATGGGGTGTGCAGGGTTTGTGGGAGCACTGAGCCAGGCACCGGCCCCATCACTAGCACCGCGCTCCGGAGCCCGAGGCCTGGCAGAGGTCGTCTGGATGCTGACACAGGCTGCCGCGGCCAGGGGCCAGCGGTCAGTTGGCGGCAGCGGTGGCCGAGCTGCCGCGCCACGCAGCGTGTTTTGGCCAGTGCATCCTCTCCCTTGCTTTTCTCATCTGCGGGGCACAGGGCGCTTCCATGGATAACTGCTTTGCTTCCGCCAGCCCTGATAGCTTATCACCTACTAAGCAGTAGTGTGGGTTCCAGCTCCGAACACAAACACATTTGATTAGGTCCACTGGGTCACGAGCGCCTCTGCCATAATTTATCATCACCGTCCTGGCTCACGATCGCAGAGTCGTCTCAACATAAACCAAAGCCAGAAATCAAAGCGAGCGCTTCTCTCAATATTCTCAGAAGTCCGCGACTCCTTTTCATCTACAGTAGGGTCTGTGCCAGACCCCCACAGGATGGCGGACCAGCTCAGAGGTACTAAGGAAACCAGCGTGTATTCTTTGGGCTCACGCTACGCTCTTAGACTCCCCGTCCCCCTTCTACCCCCCCAGTTTTTACTTTTTTCCTTTTTTGATAGTGGTTTTGGCTTGGGTAAAAATATCACCTACAGGCTTTTCCACATGTAAGTCGAACCACTGTTCGCCTTGGTGAGTTGCCAGCCCTAAATGAACAGGCTCGGAGCACGGTCACTGGTGTGATGGCAGGACTCCAGCCCCCATGTCGTCACCCCCACTCTGCTCCCACGGTGGGGCTGGGGACTGTGGCCCCGATGCTCAGAAAAGCAGAGGTGGGGAACATACCTTGCAAGCTCATGCTTGAAAAAAAACACGGAGGCATTTTTCAGTTCTATTATTTATAACGCCATAGCAGAGGAAGAAAATCCATTTGTATCTAATTGTTTTCCATGTGTAGTTTCTGATTTATTTTTTCCAGATAACTGTTCTCAGGTTTGCTTTGTGACGAGCCTCCTGGAGAGGCAGCTTAGAAACATAAACAGGTCTTTCTTTCTTGGCCAGAGAGTGTTCTCTTCAAGGAATGAGGCAAGAAGCCTGCCTGTACTTTGCTGTGCTTCCCCTTCCAGATAGATCAGGTTTCCCCTGTTGGTACATCTGCCTGTAGCTCTCAGACTAAGCCGGCTGGCGGTTAAACTACTTCTGTCTCCCTCTACTGGCTTTATGGGGCTACAAGTCGTAGGCCGGGAACACTGTGAACAGGGCAGGCAAGTGGTGGAATTCACCAGTCTCCGAGAGGCAGTTTGAGATTCTGTTTCTCCTAGACTAAATTCAGCTTTGTCTGCAAGGATGCCGATAGGTGGAAATGCGCTATTGGCGTTTGAGAAGTAGCACCCTCGTAGGCGTTTGCCTGGAGGGTCACCTCATGTCCTAACATCTAGGTTCCTGTGCATTTTCCTGAATAACCTCATTTTCTCCTTCCACCAATTATCCCGAGTCCCATGAACTCAATGCAATTCTCCCTCACAAATCAGTGGAGTCATGCGTCTACATGCTGGCCACAGCTCTTATTCATGAATGTGAGACTTCCACATGAGGAAAACGAGGTGTGCTTAAGTAACTTGCCCCAGTTAGCAGGAGAGCCGAGACTGGAACTCAGCTCCGTGTGACCTAACACTCTGTCCTCCCTTCCAGGTGGCAGCTGGTTTGCAGGCAGAGCTGAAAGTGGAGCTATTCGCCATGGCTGTCGGGGAGGACGGTGCCAGAGGGGCCGTGCACATCACTCACAATGTTGAGATCATGACTGAGCACGATGTCCTGTACTTGCCGGTGGAAGCAAATATCCTTTTAAGTTCTGTGCAGTCGCCATACATCGCACAGTCAGATTTGCAGTCGTGTTCAGTGTCGGAGATGCCATCTTGCTAGAAAGGATGGCCGGATCGTCCCTGAACCACACACACACGTGCCGTCTCCTGCATCTAGACAGACACGAAATAACCTAGTACATGCAGGTAAACGACATGGAACAGCAAACACAGAAATGGAAATTGGAATATTTGAAAAGATTATTCTGTAGCAGGAGAAGTCTTCACACGTGATTCCTAGATCATGTTAACCTTCAAATGAACCAATTATTTACAGCACTGTTATAGGGTCTATCTATATGATATTTGAGTGGAGTCTCATAGAAAGCAAAAACTTGATCAAAGGAAACTTAAAATAGAAAGATTGACAGGTTCCAGATTTCTGTGAGGAGTAGCAGGGAGCTCAATATGTGAGAGCTTAGGGAATATCAGGACATACAGTAGGAGAATTGGTGGGAATGAAATCATGGAAGACTTTAAATACTTGACTTAAATTTCCTTGTACAGCCAGTCAGACTCATTGAAGGTTTCTGATCCAGGGAGTGATATAAGCATTATCTTTATAAAAATGAAGCCAGAGTTGCTGTACAGGATGTATTAGAGGACAAGAGTGAATGGATTTGTAAATAACTGTGGGAAGGGTGCTTCAGTAGACCGAGTGTGAGATCAGGAGCTCGAGGGTGCGGCAGTGATGATGAAGGGGGGCGGCGTGGATGACAGCCGTTGGCAGGGAGACTGTAGACTCTGATATGGAACCCTTAGAGAGACGGAAGCCAGAGCAACTGACCGTTCAACTCGAAGGTTTTGGGCTCAAGTGGTGAATCATAGGTACGCAGGACACAGTCACAGAATCGCACAGCTGGTATGTAATTGTCTTAAAGATGCTGACATAGAAGCGACAAGTAAAGATACGGGAAAGAGGCGGAATTTGAGGTCTATTTCGGGAGCAGGAAGAAGCAGCTAAAGCAGGTAGAACAAGCAACTAGAAAACCGTGAAATTTCTCAGACGCCATAGAAAGGATTTCAGGGAAAATCATGACAGAAGTGACAGATGCTATGGAGAGATCAAGAATTCATATTTATATAGAACCACTAGATTTTATTGGGATTAAAAACTAAATGCAAAAGACTAAATGGGTGTCAAGAGAGCATAAGCAGTGAGTAGATTCTCTTTTAAGAAAATGTGTTATTAAAAAGGAGTATGTTCCCTCAGAGAGGCAACAAGGTAAAGAAAAGGCTCAGCTTGTAGCCTTAATT